TGAAACAAAACTTTCTGTGTTTTTTTTACAAGTTCACCAGGCATGATATAATGAGCCTTCATATTAGTTCTAAGGAAATAACAAGGTAGAAGACATTTATCTTAATGTTCTTTTATGGCATTAAAATCCAATACTACCTATAGTGGCAAAATTTGTCTCTGGGATTAAAATATGTAGAAATGATATTACAGATACTGTAACAGTAGACCTGTATGCTTACATTTAACTTTTCCAACATGGATGTTTTTGTTTTGCTTTCTGTGGCTACTATGTGTGCTATTGAATCAATTAAGTCAGGGGAACCTAACCCTCAGGCCATGGTCCATGGCCTGCCAGGAATCGAGCTACGCAAACCAACCCAATCTATGAACATAGGTGATCCAGCGAATGGAGAAACCATGCCCCCACCAAGCCTACAGAAAACCTCACTCTTCAGAACCAAACCTTGGTGACCAAAATAGCAATAGCAGTTAGACTTATATACCGCTTCATAGGGCTTTCAGCCCTCTAAGCGGTTTACAGAGTCAGCATATCGCCCCCACAATCTGGGTCCTCATTTTACCCACCTCGGAAGGATGGAAGGCTGAGTCACCCCTGAGCCGGTGAGATCTGAACCACTGAACTGCAGATAGCAGTCAGCTGAAGTGGCCTGCAGTACTGCACTCTACCCACTGCGCCACCTCGACTCAAAAGATTTGGCAGTCACTGAACTAAGGAATCAAGTGAGCTAAATTAAATATTTTATGTAGTAAATTCTTCGGAGACAATCTGCTGTTTGATCTGCTGATTTTTATTCTTTTTCACTTATTTTATTGTCCTTGTATTGCTTACAATCATGTATGGCTGTGAAGGTTGGACCATAAAAAAGACTGAGTGCCAAAGAATTGAGGCCTTTGAACTCTGGTGCTGGAGAAGAATCCTCCGAGTCCCTTGGACTGCAAGGCGATCCAACCAGTCAGTCCTAGAGGAGATCAACCCTTGACTGCTCTTTAGAAAGCCAGACCCTGTAGATGAAACTCAAATACTTTGGCCACCTAATGAGAAGGAAGGACTTACTGGAGAAGAGTCTAATGCTGCAAAAGATTGAGGGCAAAAGAAGAAGGGAACGACAGAGAATGAGGTGACTGTATGGATGGAGTCACCAAAGCAGTAGGCGTGACCTTAAATGGACTCCGGGGGATGGTAGAGAACAGGAAGGCCTGGAGGAACCTTGTCATGGGGTCATTATGGGTCAGACATGACTTTGCAAGTAACAACAACAACTGCTTACAATCAGTGTTTTTTAGTGTTATATTCGCGGGAATTCTGGGAATTGAAGTTCACACATCTAACAATAGCCTGTTTTTCCATAGTAATTATAATATGGGTTCTGTACTTCTACTATTAGTAGCAAATACAATTCTTATAATTAGTTCTTAATGTTAAAAATTATCACAAGTTTGTATCACAGTATCATAACCTCTGTAACAACAAGATTATTACATTTCATATGTAAATTCTAATTCTGGTAATTTTATATAGCTTGCTACCATGTTTCCCTGAGAATAAGACAGGGTCTTATTTTCTTTTGACCCCCGAAATAAGCACTTGGTCTTATTTTTGGAAAGGTCTTATTATTTTTGAGGTGCAGGGAGCGGCGAGCATGGTCACGTCATGGCTGCTGCTGTGTTGCAATATTTTCGGGGGGGGCTTATTTTGGGGGAGGGTTTATTTTAGAGCATGTGCTCAAAAGCCCAATTGGGCTTATTATCTGGGGAAGTCTTATTTTTGGGGAAACAGGGTAATGGTGAATTTTATCTCACAATAAAGCCTAGCTTTTTGACTAGTAATTTTTAGTTTGATTGTACCTTGTTTTACTATCCATATTCTATTGTCATATTTTAGTCTAGTTGGATACCTCTTTACTCCTCAAGGTTAGATTGGCCCAGATCCTACAGCCTTTCAAAAAATCTATGCACTGAAATAGTATGTGTAAATGGCCTTGGCAGAGGAGAAGAGATGCTGCCTCGAAAACATTCAGATAAGAGAGGGCATTGCTGGCAGCTGTATAATGGGCAGAAAAAGGAGGCTCCGAAGGGATCTTCTTCCCCGCCAAGTTCTCAGGTTGTAAAGGAAATGCTGGGAGATTTGGACTTTGAAACTTGCAAGTTTCTGTTAATGTAGTCTTACAATAAAGTAGAATTAGACCATTTGGCTCATTTAGCCAACCTACAAGACAATATAAAAGGCTTTGGATATACTCCCAGACATCAGGGTGATGCCAATGGGGCTTCTTAGTTTATTTTTTTTAACCTCATTATAAAATCTATAATTAGCTGTTTTCAGTTCTTTTTTAATACCAATATTAAGGACAATCCTTATAGTTACATCTTAGTGTTACCAAGATTTACAATTCTGAGTAATCTCTATAATTATTAATATTATTCCATGCCTTACTTACTTTTTTGAATAGTTATAATTGTGTCTATTTTATAGTGGCTTATATCTGAAAATAGAGAAACTGTATCAGGAGTTCCCCATGAAGGTATCAATACTTGTCATCGGATTTTTCTGAGATGCAGTAATCTTACATAAATTTATGTAGGATACAAAATAAACAATAAGGAATTCAAGCATTAACATGCAAGTACATGTTATTATTTTTTTTTACATCTCCCAAGTACAATCTATACACACTTTAAATTTTAAATACACTATATCAGAAACAAGGAAACAAACAAACAGACCCATAGGAATTGAGAATAGGAATTCATTATTCATTTAAACTTACATGAATTCATCATCATTGGTATGATTTAAGTTTAGAGCAAAACCATTAAACTAAGCAAAATGTAGCTTTCTATGCAGCATTATAAAAAACAATATCTCCCTTGAGTAGTATTTTTTTTTACTTTTTGCTTGAAAAAAATTCCTTAGGCTTCTTTCAAGAGTTTTGAAAAAGTTACAAAGGAATTTGGAAAGTGTAAACATACTCCCTCCCCTTCCCTGGTGCTCTCCAGATCCATCTGGCTTCATTTCGACAATCTCAAGGCAACATTGTGTTTGTACAGTCTGCGATCAGAATTGTAATCAAACAGCCAGGCCTGTATAAAATTTAGCCAATATCGTCATCATCCTCATAAAATGGAATTAACATCATTATGTACTCTTCTAAAAAAATGGCCAGAATTTCTCTACACTGTTATGTCTACAATATGATCCCAATGATCTATATAATCTCCATGATTAATTAAACTGCAAAGATGTTAATAGAAATATTAATATGTTCCTTAATTAGGTTTATATGTATTATATTTTAATAAACAAATATTTTCCTTTCTTACACTGCTTTTAATAGATGTTTATAAAATCTGAAACAAATCAATTTTTATTCCTGATCATCATTACTATTATTGCACATTTTATATTTACTGATTATTATTTTGCATATTTTACAGATTAGGCAAGTATCATCACCGAGGCAGCTATAATTCCTATGGTTAATCAACTACGATCGTATTCACTTTTAACCCATAACAAATCAATCCAATAGTTTAAAAATAGTTTCGCAACAGATGATTAAGTCAAATTCTGCATTCCTTCTAGTTATAACCTCGTTAATCTTGATATTATTCCTTCAATATTCAATAATATCAAAAACAGTCTCTCTTAAGAGAACTGCCATACTATTTCTGTCTAATATAGATCTCACACATCCCCCAACAAAAGAATAAAAGTTTATAAATTCTCAAACTACAAAGTGACTCTTGCTATGGAAGACTTGCCATTCATCACTGCTGTGACTCAGAATGCATTAGATATTAAGACTGCAATTAAGAAGTCTCCATCATCATACATTTTCTTTATTTTCAATAAGAAAATCCACCTTTTTTAGAAACCTGTATATTAATTCTGGCCCACACTCAGTTTTATAATTTTGCTAGAAGTTCTTTATTTTTGTGAAAGAGGCTTCCATAAAAATAAAAATAAAAACCCTAAAGACTGAGTTCCATTGTTTTGTGCCAATGACTTCCATAATTTTTACAAGGTGCAGATTCCTCGGCTGCAATTTGAAATGGTCCATAGGAATTTCTTCATGATTCAATACACTGAATTCCTTTTGATCAAATGAAATAGCACATAGCTGGAGAGGCTGTAAGCAGGCAGGCAAATTATTGTTCAATGAAAGGCAACCTTTACACGCACCCTGCCCACCTGTAACTACAGAAGTGCAAAAACACAACACCCCAGGAGTTTCACCCAAATTCTGTTCCTTTGAAAGGAATTTCACAATCAAATCCTCTTCCATCAAATAGAAGGATCACAGAATACAGATTTTTTTCCCCTCTCATCCAGGGGCAGCTATGATTTCATGTCTTTTTATTAGAAATTTACTGAATTCCATGGGATGTATTTCCAAAAAAAATCAATAAATTTGCAAACATATGGGTTTACTGTGCTTAGAATGTAATCATGGATCTATTGCATCATTTTTAATTATTGTCACCTTATATTGGTCAAATTTGCAAATGCCTAATGATCACCTTCGCTTTTTTTAAAAAATAATCTTCCACAGCAGAAATAAGAAACCATGAGTACAATGCATGGAATGCTTAGAAATTCAATGATCCTGGTCAATTCTGTGTAACAGAGACAAACCGACATGCATAATTGCTCTTTACTGCCTCCACAAATCTTCTCGTAATTTTGGAAATCACGGAAATATGATTATTATTATTATTAATATTTTTAAAAACTTCCAAAATACGAAACAAACGAACAATCAACCTTCGTATTCATCTCTTCCTACTGCACATTTATGCTATCGCAACTCAACAGAGATCATTCCAATAGTTGGAAAAATCGCCTTCCTAGAATGCCATCCGTATCTGTACACTACATTTAAGGGAGAGAGGGAGGGGAAAAAGGGGGGGAGGGAGTGGAAAGGACGAAAAAGAAAGAAAGCCGCGGCAACTCCATCAGACGCCACTAGAGTTCTCCTTTTTCCGACGATCCGAGGCTGTATCCTAAACCCTGTTTACCCCAGAAAGCTAGAAGTGTGCAGACGGCCAGGAGCGAGGAGGGAGAGAGGGGGGTTTTGTGAAAAAAATTCAGACACAATAAAACTCCGATGGGGAGAGAAAATATGTAGCAGGCGGAGGAAGCAGCCGCGGCCTCGAGCAGGAATTGCAAACTTTAACCTGCGCGAACTTCTTTTTCTCCGCCTGCACAATCTACAACTGCTAGAGACGCCGCCGGACAAGGTGAGGGACCGGGGTGGAAGGAGGAGGAGGAGGAGGAAGAAGAAGAAGAAGGGGGGAAAAGGGAGAGAAGGGACCGAGGGATCGGCGAAAAAAGCCAGTCCTTTTGCTTGTCCCCGCCCGGTGGAAATCCCGAGCGTCTTTTATTCCCTGGCTCGGAGAAGGGAGTCAGGAGGGAAGGAGGGACGGGGGCAAGCAGGGAGAGGCGGCGTCTCGGGGTTGGCGGTGAGAAGAAATTCTTGTTTTTTTTCTTTTTTAAAATAGGATGGAGGATTATAAACATGGCGCCTTAAAAAAAAAAAAAACTACAAAACCTGGGTCTGCTAGAGTCAGCCGAGGGAGGCAGAAGAAGGTTGAATGCGAGGACGGAGGAGGAGAAATAAATGCCGATGGGGGCAGAGATAGAGATGCAGACGCTCCGGAGAGCGGGGGGGGGCGGCGGACGTGGGGGGGGGGAGGTTGCACAAAATCAGAATACAACGGGGTGGGGTAGCGGGGGCGAAGGTAGGGGTACTAACCGCCTGGAGAGCAAAGCCTACTCGCTCTTGCAGAATGCATGGGAGGGGTGGGGTGGAGGGTGTTCTCTCTTTCTCCACTCCACCTTTCCTCCTTTCTTCTACCTCCCGACCCGTTTTATCCCCGGAACCTCGTGTGAATCCGGGGGTGCCCCCTTGGGGGATGGTGGTAGTCGATTCAACCCAGCTCCAGGCCGAGACGGGAGATTAGCGCGAGCAAGGATGAAGGGGGGGGGGCTTCCCGGACCGACCACCACCACCCCTCCCGCGGCGGCGGCGGCCACCTGCGGGGAAGAAGCGGGGGTGGGGAAGGCGCGGAGGGAAAGGGGGTGTGCATATGCCCGTCGCGAGGCGGGAGCAAAAAAAAAAAGACGGGGTGGGGAGGAACTCCGTCCCTGGAAAGGGCCTTCTCGGACGGGGAACCCGGGAGTCGCGTGACTGGAGAGGCCCGGGCGACTCGCCCTCTTTCGTAGCCGCAGCCTCCTGGATGGGCCTCCCGCTCGGAGACGCCCGCGCTCGCCTTCTCGTTTCGCTGGGGCGGCTTTGGAGCAGGTCTGGGCCGGATAATGGCAGGCAGGCAGGGGTGTGGGCGAGGGGGAGGAAAGCCAGGCCTGGAAGGGGAAGGGGGCTTTCGTGGTCTCTACCGTAAAAGCCTCTCCGGTGAGCTCGGGCTTGGTTTTAATCCTGGTTTTTAAAGTAGGAAGGGGAAGTTTTTGCATCCTCCATCAAGGGGAGGGGAAGGAAGGTTGGAAGTTGAAAATGTGGGGTGGTGGTGGTGAGGATGAAGATGGTCAAAATAATTGATAGTGGTATCAGACTATCCTTTCGCAAGGATAGAGGGATTGAACTCCAGTCCATCTGGACTGAAGTAATAGATCTCTTAGGAGATTTGTTAGGACTTCTGTTCCTCCCTCTCCCTAAAACCCCAAAGATTAATCAGGAGACAGGCCCAAGGGGAGGCACCTTTCAAAGGATGAAGATTGAAGGCATATGCAGAAAAAAGTGCACCCTCCCCCTCTTTCTGATCTATATAAATTGCTCATGGAGAATTGCTTTGGCCTTTCCTGGAAAATATTTTCTCTGCTTTAAAAAAAAATAAAAAAAAATCAAGTTAATAGATTGGGGGTGGGGTTTCTACTAGTTGAGCTTGTAATGGACTGACATAGTGTACCTCCAGTTTAATGGATGACAGATTTATGTTAATCTGGCTGACTTGTTAATAGTCTTTATTTTGTATTAATTAACACTTTTTTTTCCTTTTAAGGCTGCAAGGTTATCTAGAGAATAAAGTCCAAATGAATAAGCCAGAGTGAATTTGGTGGGTTTTGTTTGCTTATCAGTTCAATTTATAGCCCACCCTTCCTTGAGCTTGATAACAAAGTCATCCTTACACAAGATTTCAAGAGGCCTGGAAGAGATTGAACAGGTTGTTCTCTTGTGGCTGGTTGTGGGGATTCAGATTCCTCTACCAGATACAATGATTGGGTTGACTTGTGATTATGTGTTCTGCCCTTGCAATAAGGTTAAGAATTGTTATATGTGTCTAAAGATATGATAAGGTTTCAAAAACAGATTTATTCCAACCTGAATATTTCCCATCTAACCAAAATTGTATTTGTTTAAGTTCAAAGAATCGATGCAGAATTCTTCAGGGGTTCTCACTTGTTGTGCTCTGGATTGGATGCGTGCCATTTATTTTTAACCAAGGGTGTTGTTTTCCTTGTATCCACTTAATTAAGTGTCCTTTGAGAAGGCATTTTCTTACATAACATCTATATCTTAAACTACATTGAGCAGACAAGTAAAAATAATATTAATCTAAATGCTGAATTTTCTCACATGAAATGCATATTTAATCCAGGAGCTGGTCCAGCAATGATGTATATGTACATTATAAACCTTTGCTCTCCAAAAGAAATCCCCCAAAACTCACATAATTAAATAATCTATCATAATATTAAATGATGAGAGAGTTGATTTTTATTATGTTGATTTTTTTAAAAAAGACAACAATGTCTCAAGTATGAATTTCATTATCTGATTTTACTAGCACTAACACATTTTAAAAAAACAAAAACAAATTTATTATCTGTTTTTTTCTCTCCACCAGGATGTTTGAATTCCAGCATTTAAATCCTACAACATCTTTTAATTGTGAGAACAAATCATGAACAGGGTAGAAATTTAGCAAAAATAAAAATAAGGCTAGTTATATTGGGTGGCCATTATAAAATGTGCAAAACTATAGAGTGTTTTGGAATAATGGGTTTTTTTAAAAGGATTTGTGGTCTTATGAACATATTGTTGTATGTGACAGCTCATATTTAAATATAATTCCATACACAATAACCAAGTCAGGTAATGCTTGAAACCTCTCCATTTTAGGGTAGATCTATGGCAGCATATCTCCTCTCTGTTTGGAAGCCACTCTTAAAAGCTGCAGCATTTCAAGAGGTCTTGCAAGAATTTTTGATTAGTCCTATCAGAGGCATGAGTGAAATCTGGAATAGGGTCAACTGGACATTTAATATAATTCCTCCTAAAAACCCTTTCTAATTTTTGCAAAATAGTTGTCAATAATTAGAATTAAAGCAGCAAGTTAGATGGGTAGAGTAAGGAGTCCCTGCACATTTTACTCCGCAATTGTTTGCTAAACTATAGGGGGCATACTCATCTCCGTTTCAAGGCCATAGAGCCAGTGCTGTCCAAAGACACTTCTGTGGTCATGTGACCAGCATGCTGTCACTGAGTGCTGTTACCTTCCCACCAAAGATGGGTAGAGTGCATTTAAGGAATTATTGCTTTAACCTTTTTGGTAAAATAATTCATAATCAGCCCAGCCCATTGATACAGAGTTAATAGACAGTAGTATCCAAAAATTGGGCAATGGGTTGGGCTAGAAAACCTCCAAAGTCCCTTCCAGCACTATGATTCTATGAAATTATTGTATTGACTGGGTTAGTTTCAGTTTGTGATACCTGGGAATTTGTAAAGTCTAAGAGATAGACAAACATACACCAATCTTCAATCTCTTGTGATTAAGGTCTTTTGAGACTTAGTGGCTTCTTGGCTATAAACAGTTATTAAGGAATTTTGTTATTTTAATCCTAACCTTAACCCCAATTAAAATAATTTCTGATATATCACTTCATTACTGTATTTTTATTAACAGGTCTAATAAATTATAATTTTTAACTGCTATCTGGACTACATTAAGTTAAATAATAAAAATAATGGAATAAAATAATAAAGATTTTATCAGTATTTTCTTCATTAAGTTTTCCATGGACTAGCTTTAATTTCAGAAAGTGAAATGAATTTTACAGTACATTTATACAATGAAAGCAGACATTCTACCTGAAAAATATCTTGAATGTGGAATATTACATAAAATTAAAATTTCAACAAGATTTTACATTGTTCAATTTGCCAACTCTTTTCAACAGTTAAAGCCTTTAAATCATGGGTGTCAAACTCAAGGCCTGGGGACCAGATCCGGTCCATGGGGTGCTTAGATCTGGCCCAGGGGGCCACCCTAGAAACAGCAAAGGACCAGTCTGCAGTGTGTCTGCCAGCAAAAATGGAGCTCAGCAGGGCCACGTGAGGGTTGCAAGATGCTATTGTCACCGAAAACGGAGCTTGGGATCCCGTTTTCACTGGCAAAGTGCTCTGGCCCCTACAGGGACCCCTAACACAAATGATTGCTAGCTGGCCACACCCACCCTGGCCACACCTCCCGCCCCTCATGGTCAAACACAACATTGATGCAGCCCTCAATGAAATAGAATTTGACATGCCTTCTTTAAACCATATTTAATGAATTAATGAACTATTTTCTTTATACTTAATAAATGACAAATGTAACTTGTATAGTTGAAAGATCTAGCAGTCAATTTTCTATAAGACTATACCCTCCAATCAAAAGATGAAAATAATTTTTGACCAGAAGTTTGCTTATTTTGGTTTGTTATAATTTTGATTTTGATTTTGCCTTTATTTGTATGCCGCCCTTTTCCCTAGGGGGACTCAGGGCGGCTCACAATTCAAAAGGGAGGGGGAAACAACAAACAATAAACAATACAGCATATTAAAAAAAGAAAAACGCAACAATCACACAATTCGAGTGGGGCTATAATCTTAACCCCAGGCCAGCCGGGACAGCCAGATCTTTACAGCAGCGCGGAAGGATTGGAGGGTGGTGAGGGTCCGAATCTCCACGGGGAGTTCGTTCCAAAGGGGCGGAGCAGCCACCGAGAAGGCCCTCCTCCGGGTAGTTGCCATAATGTGAAACTTGTTTAAGGAAATTTGCTTGAGGCAAATTTAATTGGATCCAGTTGCCCAATCATAACTAAGTTTTCATAACACTTTTGGACTGGTAACCTAGGTCTTGGATATCAGACAAAACAGTTGAGTAAATGAGATAGTTCTGCAGGACACAAATTAACTTGACACTTTTCACATTGGCTTCAAAGTAGGCTCCAAGCCAGA